AGTTTTATTGCCAGCGTATACACAATAAATAAATACTGATTTTCTCTCCTGTCTACAGATCTTCATGTGTAAGCCTTCGTTAGTTGTTTCACTGAAGTCAGAGTAGTACACAATCTCTCTTCTAGTATTCTGTAACAGGATGAGGCATCACTAATTTACATGCAGTGATTATTTTTTCTTGGAAAGAGTCTAGGGAAGATTAATCAGACTGCTTTGGGAACCATGTAATAAAGCAGTGATCTCAAACTCAAATTGTATGCGAGCCGAATGTACGATCTGAAAACAGCTGACAGTCCAGAAATTGTTTTTTAACAAAATGAAAATAAAATATTTTATATAATTTTAAATTTGTCTTACTAAATATTTGTCAAAGCATTCATGAACAATAATTTTTGCAAAGAGAAATCTGTATGAATTTTGAATATGAAATCAAAAGTTTGATAACTGTAAGAAATATTTTTGGTTGCAGTTTGTAATTCAAATATATTAAAAGCTAAATATTAAATTCTTAGACTGACTTTTTTAATAATTAAATTTTTTTTTCAAATTATGAAATCTTTTTAATTTTTCATTGAAATTTATAAGTGAGGTAGGACTTGAAAACAAATAACTGTTTAGTCTCTTTCTCTTCTTTAATAAATTTTGCTCTGACACACAAATAAAAGTACATGTGTTTGTGTAAAATAATTAAAAACCTCCTTTATCTTACTATAGCTTGGCACTTGTTCGCATTTCAGTTCTGATCAAATTTGTAGTCACAGAGAGAAATTACTAGACGTTACCTTCATCAAGGATTGCAGACGCTCAGATGTCAACTGGGCTCTCTCTTTAAAAAAAAAAAAATATTTAACTGTTTACATATAAATGTATTCCTAAACAAAGCAATTATTCTTAATGTAAAAATCCGTAACCAAGTTTCTTCATTTTTCCGTAAGTACAAATAAAATTTAATAAAATCTCTATCTTCAAATCCCTGACTAATATTTGTATAACATTGTAGCAGTTAGCTCTGTTTATAGTTTTCTGGTGCATTATTTTTGTTCGGGCCCACCAGCGGCCGAGCGGTAAAGTCGCTGAACACTGGTAGTTCGGTCTGAGGTTCGAATACCGCGAACGGGCTGGCTGCATGGGCGTTTTCATGGTTTTTCCCATGTGTAACGTGTATACGAGTCAGTTTCCCTTAGAAAGTCCTCCACGAAGCCATCCCTCCCCTTAGGCAGATAGCCCTAGTGTGCTTTGCCACAATTAAATAAACCAAACCAAAACCAACATTATTTTTGTTCATTTTTAATGGAAATGAAAGTAGTATAAACTCAGAATTCAAATAATTAAAATTTTTGCAATGCTGTATTTACAACGAATACATAATTGTATTGTCTCCTCAGGCTGCATAACATTACTTAGGGGGCTACCAACTTAAAACCATTATTGCATTCCCTTTCACTAAAATTATGTACAAATTTGTTTTTCAAAAATTTGTATACCAAGTACCAATTTACTTATTTGAAAAAAGTACCAATTGCAAGCTTTATTTTCAGTTTATTTCAAATTAAAATACTGTGTCTGTAGATAAAACATAATCCTAGTTTTTCTGGAATTTGCAAAATTTTGGAACCAAATTCAAAAAAATATTCATATTTGGCAGAAAAAATTAACCTTCTACATGCATCTCGTTTAATATTACATATCTCTAATTATGCTCATAGAGTTTATGGCTTGCTTTCAGAAGTAGACTGTTGGATACTATTTAATCCCTCATTATATGTATTTGAAAGACAAGAAAAGTCTGATAATCAGGAATGAAACAAACTGTATGCAAGAAACTCTACAATTATATTTAATTAACATTAAAAGCATGTTATTATTTACTAAATTTATTGTTATTAAATTAAATTTCTTTTTGAAGTCAACATTGCTTCTGCATGAACTCTTACCAAATAAAGTTCAAATTTTTCATAGGTTTGACTTTAAAAAAAAATAAATAAAATAAATTAAAATTAAATAAAAAAAAAATTCTGTAGAATATAAATATTTATTATTTCTCCAATGGTATATTTTCATTTTCTCAGAAAATTTCAGAAATGCTTCACCAGCCTCCATGTTAAGTAACTCTTAATCTTCTTATTTGTCACTATACATTTCTTTTGCTACCTAAGGATTTGTAGTGATCAAGTGACACTAAAGACTTCATTGGCTTTAAGTGAATAGTTGCTAGCTTGTGTCGCCATCTATGAGAAGTACCGCAGCGCATGAGTTTTGCATGCCCTTGAAGATGCTAATGACATTGAGATTTGATTCTAGGTCTGTTTAATGTGAATTCAAATGCTTTATCCCTAGTGCAAATGTTCCGCTAGATTCAAGAATTCCAACTCTTTCAAAGTTGCGAGCGTTGAGTGACTCTCGAAATCACTACAGATTCAACACACTTTGCAAGACGATGTTACCCCTTAACATTTTCATTGAATTGCTGAAATAGCAACCTTTGCCATTATTATGTCAACATTTTTATTAAACTTTGAAATTATTTTAAATAAAAAGAGAAAACAAATGCTATATAAACTCAGTTTCAACGATAAATATGGCAAACAGAAGCAAAGCAGTTGCAAAGTCCTTCCAAATATTGCCATGTAAAATGCTAGTATTTGTATATTCTACAAAAATTCTGTAGGAAAAAGAAGTAAAATAACATCTTTTGTAGGATAAGTTTATCAGTCTTTAAATCTGGAGCAACAGATATTGACTATATAAAAAAATAAATAATAAATAAATAAATAAAAATCTAAATATGTATTTTTTAAGTAAGCAAAGTACAATATACAGTCAAAAGTCGTTAATCCGGACTCGTCGGGACTTCGGCGATTCCGGATTATCGATTTTTCCAGATTATACATCATCAGTTTAAATCTGGTAAGATGGCATGCAGAAATTATAAAATTAAAAATATGAAACCGTAATTTATGAAATAAAGAACAATTACGATCTAAAGGGTATCAAAATATACAAAAAAAAGCTTAATATTTATTTGTTTACTTTATTAAACATTTCTTTCAATGTAAGTTGTTCAAGTTGCTTCGATTTTTTATGTGATAATACATTCTCTTTAATTCTATAAACAGACATAATTTCTTGTTTAGTTACAAAGTTCCGCTGTTCAAGTCCTATAATTGCTGTGTCTACCGACTAATTTGTCAATCAAAATTTTTTCGTTTTCAATAACCTCTGTTACTTTCTTCACTATCGGAAGCGAATTATAATGACGAGGAATTTGATTTAAATCATATCAAAGATGGAGTACATCGAGATGAAATACTACATTTAGTAAGGAATTATAGGCCAAATAAAATAAAATCATATCTGCCCTGAAGATAATGATAGTGCTGACAGATCAACTTCCAATTCATTGCGCACTGCGGCGTTAAAGGTAAACAAAGTTTAGATAAACAAACGTTAAAGTTTAGATAAACAAAGGATATGCCTTTATCCATTTTTTGCAGAAATTCCACTTTTTATTTAATGAACTTTGAAACATACTTTCGCTTTGTAGATCCTTTACATATTAATAAATATATATCAGAAGTTCTATTTGACATAATCAAAAGTTCAAGCTTACTTTTTTAAAATTGCTCTAACAGTCTGCAAAAAAATAATAAGCCGGATCCAATTCGAAGATTAAGGAACAACGCAATCTGCAACATTAACTGAAATAGATAATTAGATAATTTTAGCTTAGCTTATACCGTCCGTTGTACATTAAACATGCACTCGTAAACGTATTTTGCGCACGCGCACAAGCATATTCGCAGACGTAAAGGCGACGCATGCGCAGAAAGTTTGTAGCTTTGAGGTCCGGATTATGGGTGTCTGAATTAACGACTTTTGACTGTATTAATAATTATGCCTTTAATTAATCTGCATGCAATAATTGTAGAATTATCAATAATTTTATATAAGTTGTTTTAGTGGGGCTAAGCTTATTTTTGTACACCATAGCAGCCATACTTGTTTACATTTGAAACTTAGCAGAATAGTGAATTCTGTTTCTGCACCTTCATTGTCTTTTTGCCAAGTGGGACTAAAATTAAACTTTCATATTTGTGCTCTGAAAAATCTGCCTTGTTGACTGCTGGCCGAATTGCTTGTTTTTGTGTAGAAACTCTAATTTTAATTGTAAAAATTGTTATTTTGATTGTTTTAACTGTATTTAGTGTTTTATTTTACTTTTTCTATATTTTTTAATATAGCTGTTATGAGGTTTTATGTATTTTATATTGTCCCAAACTGAGAACAGAATTACTTGAATGAGAAATTATCTTTAATGAAATTCGAGGAAATAAGTTTAAATGAAATAAGCAAAAAATGCGTATAATTTAATATTCTGTACAAGGAAGTCATGTGGTGTATACATCAGATTTTTTTTTTAGTAAATTTTGATACCTTTTAGATCATAAATGCTTCATTATTTCATATTTTTAATTTTATAATTTCTACATGCCATCTTACTGGATTTCAAATTATGATCTAATGTCTGGGAAAATCCCAAATGCAACAATGTCCTGACAAATTGCTGAAGTCCTGACAACTCTTGATCCTGGACTTTGTACTGTACATATATACTATATCGGCTTGTTTGATAAAATAATTATTCTAAGCACATTTAGTTTATAATGCATAAATTGGCTTTATGAGGGGTGCTAAAGCAATTTGTAAATTAATAGCTTTTACTACATTTTGTAAATGTGTTAATTCCAAGTAATAAGTTCCCAAGTTGGTCCCAGGCAAACAAATTGGCAGGTTCGGTTGGTTTATAAGTTTTTTCCCATGTGTGATATGAATATGGGTCTGTTTCTCTTAGGAAGTCCTCCATAAAGGGTCCTCTTAGGCAGATAACCCTTATGTGCTTCTCCATAATTGAATAACCTAACCTAAATTTCTAATAATAATATATATTAAGTTATTTCCTAATTTTAACATGTTTAATATAATTTTTATGTTATTTACAGATGTCACCAAATACTATAAAGAAAAAGTGTCAGAATTTTCTTAGCACTTTGATCAAACTTTCCGGAGATCAAACAAAAAAGACAGCATCAAATGTGAAAAAATTAATCCAGAATTTAATTGTAAGTTAAATAACATGATTTAAAAAATGTCAAATCTTTATTAAGTGTTAAAAAATATTTTTCATTACATGGTAACTTTTTTGTAGGATGGAACTATTGAACCAGAAGAATTCTCCACCCAGTTGCAGAAAGAATTGCGTTCTTCCCCACAGCCTTATCTAATACACTTTTTAAAAGTAAGTATCTCTAGAAAGAGTCAAGATTAACTTCATATAAATGATATAAGTAAAAGTTGCATTAGTATTTTACATTTGTGGGACTAAACATTTATTTTAAACTATTTTCTTAATTAGCTTATCATTAATATTAAAATGAGTTTCATAATGTATATATATATATATATATGTTGCATATATATCAAAAAGTACTGTGAATATGTAAAATGAGTTTAATTGGTCATCATCATGCTTGATTATTAACAATAATTTAATTAAAAGATTAAAAAGCAATTATTTGGATTTAAGATTCATGTTTAACTTTCAATTCAGGTCTCAGTTAAAATATTCTGAAGTAATTTTAGTGTTCAATTCAAACCTAATATCTTGTAAAGTTGTTAGTGAGAAAATGGCAATTAAATCTAAATTCATTACCAATGCACATATGTAATAGACATGTTTAAATACAATATAGGAAATTCAATATATAAACTTTTGAATTTAAGTTTGACTGAAGTCTGTTATAATTCATCTTGTTAGTAGTTAACTAAAAGTTATAGTGTTACTTCAATATATGTCCAGTTTGGATGAAAAAATTTTTGTTTTTTGTATATGATATTTGCTTGGAATATTTCTCGAGCTTGAGTCACAGCAGTGCACACTACACTTATTTACCTCTCCTTTTCTCTTCAAGACAGTGCTATGACTGCCTATGACTTTCAGTACACCTGTTACTACAATTCAGTAAGCAGTCTGTGCTATACATCAATTTTTTACATGATTTTGTTTTTTGAGTAAATTTTTTAGAAGTTCATTAACAATGAATTTTATAAAAGTTAAAGATAAGAGTCAAGCAACAAAGAAAACTGTCGCCCAGACGGTATAGTGGTGAGAGGAGCCTACCTACTATGGTACTGAAGGACCGATTTCGAATGGATTGGTAAGCGTCACCCCCTCTCTCAAAGTTGGGGGTGGAAAATTAGAAGTCCAACCTCTATTGAGTAGGCTCTGGCAACCATTGTTCCATGTAATATATATACGACAACAGCAACAACAAAGAAAACTGTTATATTCACCATGGAGGTGAAAAAAAGGAAAGCTGGAAAGTATACTGATGACATGCATATCTGGGCTTTGCTTTGTATACTGTAAGCAGTGACACCTATGTTTATTCAAAACAAAAACACTATTAAATTCACTAACACTGTAAAAGGGATGAAATTATCAAAGATCAGAGATGTTAGAGCATGTTGAAAAATTGCTTTTGATTTGGATAGCAGAAAAACATTTGTTATTTTATTTTTTAAATTCTGATAATTATTTTTTGTGAAAACATGTACAAGTAATAGAAAATTTGGACTATTTTTTGTGCTATTGATGCAGTGGTTTTCAGTCTAAATGTTACCATCTGTATTTTCATGATATCAAGTTTTACACAGATTTCAGATAAAAATCCTGTAACTCCGTTACTAACTATTTAAACAATTTGATTTGGTTTTTGTTAACCTTTCAATATCCTGTTTATAAGTAGACTGTAGATTGGTGAGAATGCTGAAAATATACTTCAGGCAGACAAAATACCATAATTGGAAGGGAAAAGGTTCGTCAGTCCAGATTTCATTTATATTCTCATTCACAAGCAGTTGTTTATCTGCAGCAGTGAATAGTGCATTTCTTTAATTTAATACTCTTACCGAAAAAAGAAAAAAAAAAAAAAAAAAAAAAAAAAAAAAAAAAAATACACATCGATGGTTGTGGAGAAATTATTTTACACTTTTCCTATTGTATAAGCATCTTGTTATTTTTAATGGGTAAAGTAGTAATATTTTAATTACACTTATTGAAATGAAATGAAATTAAAAGTTATTAAATTTAAATACTCTATGTTATTATCTTTTAGCTCCTTAAATTATGACTTCAGAAATTATTATATTCATGATTTGTGTTCGATAATAAGCAAACTGAATACAACATAAATTGCTTGTGTTGCACCAAAATTGTTGATTATATACTAACAAAATTATAAATGTATATATATTATAGATCTAATAGATGATGTATAGATCCTAGAAATGTTTCTTTATGTACCGGTGGCCATAATTAAACTGATAGTGCTCACAGTGTTCTGTAGCGTGATTTATTTGCGAGAATGACGCCACATTTTGTAGAAAGATTAAACAAGACGGGGGACGAAGGATTCCGCGAAAAAAAAGAATAGTTCCAAAAGTCACCGCTAGGGGAATATTTGGCGCTGTGTAATAGAAAATAGAGTGTTAACAAATGCAAATTAATACGGAATAAAATTACCTTTTATTATGAATATGCCTTATGGAATATGGATATGCCTTACAGTACGGTATGGAAAATCTTACGAAAGATTATCAACTTCTATCCCTACAAGATCAGCCGTGTACAGGAGTTACTGTACCCCGACCATGATAAGCGATTGACTTTTGCTCTCACCTTTCTTGCCAGAATGGAGGTGGATGATGCTTGGCCGTGGAAAATCTTATGGGGAGACAAGGCCCACTTTTACCTGAATGGAACTGTGAATACCCAAAACTGCCGAATTTAGTATGACAAATCACCACATGCAGTCACAGCAATTCCCTTACATTCACCAAAGGTAACTATTTGGTGTGGGTTCACAGCGGAATTCATCGTAGGTCCATTTTTTTTTATGAGAACATTACCCTGACAGAACCGGAAACCTGTTTAGTTACCGGAGAGCTAAACATTAGTTTAGCTAAACAAAGTTTTGTCATTACGGCACTTCAGCAAAGGATGCCTGGGAGAAATAATTTTCATGCAAGACGGAGCCCCTCCACATGTTTCTATACGGGTGCAACAGATGCTATGACAAAAATTCACAACAGAAAGAGTCATTAGCCGCTACTTTCCAACTGCATGGCCACCTCGGTCGCCTGATCTTACCCCATGTGACTTCTGGCTATGGGGTTACCTTAAGTCCAAGGTCTATCAACGAGTGGTCCAGGACCTGGCTACGTTGAAGGATAACATATCATGGACTGTACGGGAGATTCCTGCAGACATGTTACTTTTTGCTGTTGTGCATACTGTGCACAGAATGCAATATGTGGTCCACAACGGCAGCCACATTGAACCTCATTTGAATGCAAAATAAAAGGTAATTTCCGTATTGATTTGCATTTGTTAACACTCTATTTTCTATTACACAGCGCCAAATATTCCCCTAGCGGTGACTTTTGGAACTAATTTTTTTTCTCGGAATCCTTCATCACCCCGTCTTGTTTAATCTTTCTACAAAATGTGGCGTCATTCTCGCAAATAGATCGCGCTACAGAACACTGTGAGCACTGTCAGTTTAATTATGGCTACCCGTTATGTAAAATACATAAAGAAACATTTATAAGATTTTCAGAAATTCTGCAGGTTATTATGAGATCTAGTCTGCTTAGGCCACATAAACTAGTCTAGATTCTACAAAATAACCTGGCAAATTCTCACATGGGCAGGAAGTAATACCAGCGCAGAAGAAGAGTGAAAATAACCTTTTATTATTTCCAACTATGAACAGAAAAGGCACATACTTCATGCTTAACAATAACACCGACAGCTTGCAGTGGAACTTAACGGTTTTTATAAAAATCAAATTCAGGTCTAGAAAGAATATTGCTGGATTAGTACGTTAAATTAGGGCTAGCTTAGGTTGACTCAACAAGCATTACAATTTTTCGAAATGGCCAAGGGGCATATTAGCATAACAACAAGGTCAGGAACGAAACGGGCACTGGCTAACGAGAACATGCTCTGAATAAACTCCAAGAGTCACCCATATAAATACTCACTTCACTTAACTTGACATCCTGACAAGGAAATGTGAGGGGAAGATGAGGAGTTCAGGTAAGGTAACAAAAATTTGAATAATAGGTTAAATAACTAAGGGAACCTTACATAGTTAGCTTATTAATTTGATAATAAACCTTGATTATTATTTTCTTTTGTTTGTTTATTGTAGAAATTTTAACATCATTGTGCTAGTATTTTAATTACTGTTAATATTATCCAAATCACCCCCTCCCCCAGTTGAAATGCTGAAAGCTTTTGTTATCAATATTTTCTTTGGCTATGCAGTATTTGTATATTTTAAGTGAATTTATGATAAAAAATTTAATATATGTTGTGTTTTGTATTTTTTATAGAAAAGTTTGCCTCATGTTAGACAATCTTTGATGACGAAAGAGATGACAATAGAAGGCATTCGCCCTCCACCGCTGCCTCCATCCATGCAAACTGCTGCTGCTGTTACTCCTGTACGGAATGTTAAATATCCTTGCCATATTTCCATAACTTTAATGTATTGTTTTAGTGTTTAATTTATTCCTCTTTAAGCCTATTTTTATTTCATTAATTCTTTTATGTATATAGAAAGATATAGTTGTGGCTTTAAAAATGTGATCCTGCTGTACCGTATATTAAATTACATCTGCATAGACCAGAACGCGGTATGCTTGGAATAATGATGCAAGCAGATTTTAGGTAGTAAAATAGGGAAGTTAACATAGTAAGAAGTGCATCGTATTGATAATTGCTGAGGGCTGCAAATATTCCATGGGTGAAGAATTTCATAAAATTAATATAGATATTCCCCCTCCAATTTACAATTGTTTAATTGTAAGTAAATTATTTACTACTCCAGTTATCTAGCTGTTTACATTTCTGATATGCTATTGTAATTAAAATTTCGTACCTTTTGGAAATAATGAGAATAAATTCTAAATAAATAGTCATCCAGCGCAATGTATTTATGCTAATGTATAAATTGTATTAGCATGGAAAAATGACATAGGGTGAGCAATTAAGTTAAAACCAGCTGCTACTCATTTGCACAAGGATTAATAAAAAATTATTTTTTGAGCTTATAAAGTATTTCTCCCACTTCCCTAGTGTGCCTTCATGGTGTAACGGTAGCACGCTGGGCCGGTATTCCAGAGGTCCGTGGTTCGATTCCCGGCGAAGGCGATTGCTAATTTTTCATCTCTCCGGCCTAAAAAAAAAAATGCTGATGTCTCTACAGTGGCACCTGAACTAAAAAGGGTTGTGGATGATAATTCTCCACACCCAGGATTTGGCAACTAGGTCCCCTAAAGCCCTAGTCGCCCTTTAAAAAAGGGAGTATATAAGGTATTTCTCCGATTTCCCTAGCGTGCCTTCGTGGTGTAACGGGTAGCACACTGGGCTGGTATTCCAGAGGTCCGTGGTTAGATTCCTGGCGAAGGCGATTGCTAATTTTTCATCTCTCCAGCCTCCAAAAGAAATCCTAATGTCTCTACAAGCTTATAAGTTTTTTAGCATTCTGATCCAGAGTTGTGTTTATTATATTATCTCATAAAAATTTTTTTGCAGTCAACAGCCATATATTTAACTATTTTTCATTTCATAGCAATGAAGAAAGAATTTTGTTTCAATGGTTTAAAATAATACCATGATACTTCAAATTTAAAATTAAAGAGTTCTGCCATGGTTTGAATAATAAAGAGGGAATGGCAGAAACAGTTTTTTAATTGTTATGCTGATGGAAGCTGATGAATTAATGAAATATTTCCAGGTGTGGTAATATCAGGTCTACAGTTGCTTCATCTACTCGAGGATTAGTTTCTACTGTTACTGGAAGTGCCTTAACAGCTCAATTATCACAGCCTCCTGGCAGTACTATTCTGACCCAAAGGCTTATTTCAGTATGTAGTTACAGAATTTTTTGTATTACTTTTGAAATAAATATTCATATAGAATTGTTCTTCTATATTAAAAAATGAATTTCTTTGTTTTATTAAATGGAAATTGTTGTTTTATAGCCTCAAGTTCCTCAAAATTTAGCCAAACAAATACGGCCTGTAAGTGTTGTCACTTCTATAGGATCAACGGCATCATACTGTAGTTTAGTTGAAAGCTCTCCAGCAACAGCTGGAGCTTTGCAGTCAAAAATTATGATACCCAAGCAAACATCTCTAATAAAACCTACCTCAATATCTAAAGAAAAGAAAGCTTTTGTTTCTGTCCGGTATGTATTTAATGTACGCATGTAAAATTAGTTTGAAAATATTAAGAAGTATGTGGCTTATCTTTTTATGAAACAAAATTTTTTATTGATATTAGAGATGAAGATGACATCAATGATGTTGCTGCAATGGGTGGTGTAAATTTAGTAGAAGAAAGCCAAAGAATTCTTGCTACAAATTCCGAACTCATTGGAACTCAAATCAGGTCCTGCAAGGATGAAAATCATTTTTTGTCCTCTGCTTTACACCGGCGAATTTTAGCAATAGGTAGGCACCAGTTGTATATACTATTTCTTAAATCATATAGCAATTTTTTTATAAAATCGTCTGTTTTCTCTTTTAAAGAAATTTAAGTTTTTAATTGTTTGTATCTCATTTACCAGTCTCCTGTTCATATTTTATGTTAAAAAGTGCCATTGTATTTTCTCTGCAAATACACAATTCATAATTTATTTGAAGCCTGCTAGAATTATGCATATATTCTACATGATACTTGTTCATATCATTACTGTGTATAAGATACAGTTTGTTTCTATCTGCCATTATTTTAATTTCTTTTGCCAAAGTAATGCAATAGTGCTTGTCTTAGCTGATGTTTAAATATGTGGCAAAAGAACTAAAATAAAGCTTGTTTTTAATTAAAACACTGCTTGTTTTTTTGATTAAAATATCTGTAATTAGCATATACTTATTGAATAAAAGTAATTCAAAATTTTTATTTTTAAAGATGGTTAAAGTAACTTTTTTAAATTATAATTTGGAAACCTGATTATTAAATTATGTTTATGAAATAGTTTTAATAGTCACTGTGCTCAAGATCTCTTAAATACCTATAAATTCTGATTTTGTATGATTATAATTTTTAAGTTTATTTGCAATATGTAACGTGACTGTAATATGTTTGATTTCATAAATTTTACTTTTTGTGTATGGTTTATATATATATATATATGTGTGTGTGTATGTACTTACCAAAAAATGGCATACATATGTATAGTAAATTTATGCAAGTAAATACATATGTAAATAAAGTAGTCAAATATGAATTTTTTTGATTGTGTTGAAATATTAAGAGTAAAAAGTGACATGCTTTAGATGGATGTAAAAGATGTGTGCTGTTGAGAGATTTGTAAGGAAAGATTTTTGTGTTTGAGATGTTGATATATTTAAAATTGGGTTTGTGGAAAGAAAGAGTTATTGAATAAAGTGAAAAGAAAGTGGAGTGAAGACAAATTAAGATAAGATATCTATCTCTGCCAAATTCTTAGCTGTTGATGTTAAGTCTTAATTCTTGAAGAATAGAATTGATGGTCAGATCTTACTTTTGATGATCTCTTAACAGATTTCATTAGATTGATAGTGATACATGCATCATCTACCATTAAATGAAAATAATATTATTTCAGATTCTTTAAGATTCCCTTAAATAACTAGATTAGATATAGGAAATGGGAGCATCATTATCTGAACCTTCTTAGCAAAATGTATCCTACCATCTTGAATATATCATTTTTTTAAACTTTTAAAATTATTGTTAATTTTCAGTATAAATTTATTGCTGAAGCATGGTAATTGTGAACATCCTGTGTATGGCTGGTTCTGATTAAACTGTCCTCATGATTTGTTTTTCCGATCTTGCGTATGCTACAAAATAATAAGTAATGTATGTGTAATAAATAATCACAAATTAAAAATTATGCAAAATGTATGGTAAACAAATTCAAAAATTGCTGTAAAATATGAATAAATAAAAGAGCATAACAATAAAAATATTCAAAAATCTGCATGTATATCTGCCATCTGTCCCAGTTTTTCACACGTCTCCCGGTATCCCCGTATATTGCCAAACCTCCTGGTTTTTAAATTTTAGCCGTTACTATGGAAAACATTTCCCACCAATAAAGGAAATTTATTGAATAATGAAACTTAAACTGTGCAAATTTTTTTTCCTCTACCGCTAGTGGTTTTTAGAATAATTTTTCTTGCTAAATTTTATTTTATCTGAACTATTTCTTCTTATTATATTTTATGCACATTTTCTTATCAAATTTCATTTTATCTGAGTTGTCTTAATCTGCTACGGACATTTGTAGATTTTTATGTGAAAAATCAACTAGTTTCCTTTATTTATATAAAGGTCACTGAGCAGTCAATAGCATATTGACAATTTTGTTTGACAATGCTTTCTTTTAATAAGCATCGTAATTCCTCATTCACAAAAGAACCTAGCTTTATCAGAAAAAGGCTGAACAAGGTGCTGATTTACAGCCTCAACTGAATTGAATATTATACCATGAAAGGAGTTTTGAAAAGAGTGAAACAAGTGAAAGTCTGAGGGCACAAGATCAGGCGAGTATGGTACGCATAGCAACACTTCGCATACAAGCTCCAGTAATTTTTGTTATTTGATCAGACTTGTACGTAATCACGTTATCGGGATGGAATACAGTTCCTTTATCATTAATGAACTCTGGAAGTTTTAGGAAGATGGATTCGTTGAAAAACTGTCCAATAGGCGACAGCACACATTCGAACTGATTTGTGGCTCGTTGGTAGGAACTTGGAAACAAGACCACACACACAAGTTTGGTCACTGACAAAAATTATTGGAGTTTGGATGAAAAATTTTGCCATGTGTATCATACTCACCTGATTTTGTGCCCTCAGACTTTCACTTGTCAGACGAGACTGTAAATAAGCACATTGTTTAGCTTTTGCTGATAAAGCTGTGTTCTTTTGCCATAAGGAATTTTTATGAAGCTCATAAAAAGAAAGTAAAAAATTACCCAATAAAACGGGGATTATAATATTGTCTGCTTTTTGTTCTCCCTATATATATATATATATATATATATTAAAAAAAAAAACTCTGAACAACCTAGAAAATGCGTCATGACTTTTCAAACAACCCAGTATTATGTACACTATTATGTACACAATATCACTTTCATTCCCTATTCAGGATTTTCTCAGGATAAAAGAGTAAGAAAATTATAAAATAAAATAAGCAAAAGAGCATCAAATTTAGAATTTCTATGATCTGCAGCTCCTTTGAAATAGCATTGCTACGTGGTACGAAAACCTCCCAGTTTCTTTGTTTTCTTGCAAAAATTTTTAAAGCTAGGGACTATGTAACAAAACTTAAACAAATAAACATGTAATTTTTGCTTAATTTACATTTCTCTGGAAGTACTTTCTCCATCATCAGAACTGCTAACTCACAGTACTGTAAAAAGGAGCTAATCTATTATAGTATAGTACTCCAGGTTGGAAAATGTTCTCTATATTTGCACTAGTACATGATTTAGTTTCTTTGGCAAACTGGTGAATGTCTTTTAGATGTGGCTGCTGTCTTCTGGCTAATTTTGGAGCAATCTTCCAGGAGCTGGTCTTATTGTAGATAAAAATCACTACAAAATCATATAGGGTGGAGACTTTTGCAATTCGAATATCAATTTACTCTCAATTACAAATGCTATGAGAAATAGAGTTGTCAGACACTTAAAAGGCAAAAAGGATTTCTTGTCAAGAAATGACAGCATCCTTTTCGCAGCAAACTTGATATTTTGAAACATTCTTGTTTTTAATTAGTTCACTTTTGAAAATTGTTTGAAATACAAAGAAATCTCAGTTTTGATGTGGTTGATTGCCTGTTTTATTAAGATTTCAAGTTGTGAACTTACTTTGTTATAATGAACTGCCCAAGAAAACAGGTATTATATTGCACTCAAGCCTCAAGCATATAAAAGATGCTTATTAGATTCTTTATAGGTTTCATGCAAAATGTTGGATTGTAACACCCATGGGTTGTCCTAATTATGTATTTTTTCTGTTTTATTGCAAATATAATCAAATCTTTCATCTGTAATGTTATATCTTTTGTAGCAAAAAAGCATGGGTTAGATGAAGTTCGAAATGATGTCATTGACCTTGTTTCTCATGCTGCAGAAGAAAGAATTAAAACTGTCATTGAAAAAATGAGCATAGTAGCTGAGCACAGATGTGAAAATCCAAAGGTTTGCATACATGTTGTAAATTATTTTTGATCTATCAAAATATATGCATCAAAATTAATAAATGTTATGGCGAAAAATTTTGCTTCAGAATATCTGTTAAAAACCCAAAGAGAGTGAAAAGAAATTGGATTTTGATGATGGAAGTTTTTAAGAAGTTTTATTCCATTTTTTTAATCTTCACATCATATTAAATTGGTGAATGCATGACTATTCCAAGAGACATTATGATCTTTATAACTTCCTTGTGTCCTCAATAACAGCCAATTCTCGTAGTATTGATACTAAGCAGAAAATCTGAAATTTGTCTTTCAGATTTCGAATCTATGTTTTAGCTATGTAATATGCTTATTAATATAAAAACAATAATGTGCCTCTTGATAACTTATACCTTTATTCTTTAATAATTTTGCATAATTTGTAATACATTTGAAATAATTCATAATTTTTCAGATTTTTAATTTTTATGTCCATATGCAATATTGTAATAGGTAAAATTACATACGTATTTTATCCCTTTGAAAAAATAATCATTTTCCTCTCTTTGCAAGCAGAATTTTAAGTGGCGAATTTGATATTCTCTGTGAGTATCATTATGAAATTTATTTTGTTAAGAACAACTCAGTGTAATTAATCAATGCTCTTGACAAAAAGTAATTAATTTTGATTAATTGAATTCTATAATTATTGTGACTTGCATGTTTCATTTTAAAGCATAAAAGGGATTTGCATAGTCTTCTGCATCTTTTTATTCCTTTTATGGAAACTGATCTGCATTTGTATACCATTCAGTCGTTTTAGGAATGATTAATAATTTACGGAATTTATGCTTCAGCCGATTAAATGTTAAAAACTTACTAGTTGGGGAAAATCGCATACATGTATGCTTTTGATTTATATTAATGTATAAATATTAAATTTTTGTTTTTGATTCTAAAGGTTGGAAGAATTTAACTGGGAAGGGGAAATGCTAATTATTTCATTGTTATTGAAATCTTAATAGAATTCTTTGTTCAAACTGTAATTTTCCAATTAAAGCATAATTTATATTGCATAATCCTCCTGCTCCTTAACTGAATTTTACAATTCAGTAATTTCCACTGTAAATATTATGAAAAATAGGTACATTTTTTCAAATTTCATATCCTGTTTAATAAATTTGGCAGTAATTCCTTATGTGTGAGGGTTATTCCGAAAGTAAGTTCTAGAATATAATAATTTCTACACTTCACAGATGGCACCAATCTGCCTATGATAAATGTTTTGGTGCTGCTTTGATCTTTCTGAGCCAGTACAGCATCAAGGGGAATGAGCTGTTGAACTACATTGTCACTGATGATGATACTCGGATTTCTTATGTTACACCATCATCGAAATAATCAATAGAATGTAAGCATCCTGCCTCGATGATCCATTTCAGGTGCCCAGCCTTTTTTTTTGGGTGACTCAAGATCTCATAGGGTCCTTCAATCAGGAACAAAGTACTCATACTCTATATAGTCCTGGTCTGACACCAAGTGATTTTCATCTATTTTTGCACTGCAGCAGTTTTTGAACGGCCAATGTTTGATTATGATAAAGAAGTGAAAAATGCCATAACATCCTAGCTTACCTTACAGGCAGCCACTTTCTATGATGCTGTCGTATAAAGCCTTGTTCCTCAATGCAATAATTGCCTTAATGTGCTGAATGACTACATCAAAAAATAGTGTAATGTTTGTAAATTGTTATTAAATATGTGTATCTTTTCCATGTCTCTCTTCATTTTCTTTTATAGAGTAATGGAACTTGCGTTCCTAATAACCCTCATAAAGAATTATCAATTAGTAAAATTCATTGTTCAAACTGTAACTTTCCAATTCAAGCATAATTTATCTTGCATAATCCTCCCCGTAAGTCTCAGCATATGGTCGAATCAAAATAACCAAAAAGGAAAAAACTTCAAATTCGGTGTATAATTTCTTTGTAATAAATCTGAATCCCCATTAAGTTTTGTTTTTAGATTTCTTAATTAAAAAAATGTCTGATAGATTTTAAATGAAAATTGAGATCTTCAGAATTACTTGGTTGAGAACTTTATAAATAATAGAAAGCTTTTTTTTTTTTTTTTTTTTTTTTTTTCCATTAGTGCAAGCTGCAAATTCTATATTTGTATGATACATAATAAGCATTTGCTATTGAACCATTTTAATAGTCAGACTTTTTTTTTTACTAATGAAGGTTTGTATTTATTAGCTAAATTTATATTATTTTTTTTTTTTTTTTACTTTTTTTTTAAACCATCCATCCATTCATCAGAATGATAGCTAATTCCTTAGAAGAAAAATGGGAGCAAAATATCTAAATTAACAAGGTTAACATACATAATCTAACATACATAATCTAAAGCCCAAATTACCAAACATTTCTAATGAAACTGTGCAGAAAGTTTGAAATAGTTTCATGCATATAACCCATAAACATCAACCAGTTGTGTTAGCTGCCAACTTGGGATTCCAAGCCAATAATTTGGAAGGTTTTGCAGAAAGTAACATAACTGAAAGCATACTATTTGCAAGTATTACAACATTTAAGTACTCGTGATTATATCAAGTGATGCAACTTTGGTAATTATGAGCAAGAAGCATTGCAAGATAACTATTTTCCTAGCCATTGATGAAGCTACATTTTGTTTGCCCAGAAAGAGAAACTATCACATTGTCCAGGTATGCAGAATGGAAAATTATCATTATCTTATTAAGCTGGGTTCTTTAAATCTAAATGTCTTCTATGCCATTTCACAAATAATGTTGTATAGGCCTTTTTTTTTTTTTTTTTTTTTTTTAATACTGCAACAAATAACAAATACAGGGTGATCAAAAGTTATGCAACAAAAATTTTCGAGAAATTGTGAAAAATTCCACAATGTATATTATCAATTAATCCAGTAGATGGCACCAATTTATTGTTATAAATAATATGTCACTTGGAATTTCAGTTCCAGTTCATTTTATTTTCAATTCCAGTCATATTAGCTTTAAAAAATATTTGATGCTAGGTGAAAATGAATTTCTAAGGCTGAGCATTCTTTTGGAAAAGTCATTGAAACATTTAAAAAGACATTCCCAAATGTTTTTGTACCTAATTCTTCAATGATTTTTCTCTTGGTAACCTGATTTCCAGAAACTGGTAGCATTCATGATAAGAAAGAAAGCGTATGCTCAGACAAAATGGGCTAACATTGAAATCGGGGGTGGGAGGAAGTGAGAGAAAGCTGGCATCACAACCGAGTTCATCATTTAGAAGTGTACAAAAAGCATTGAAGAATTTGAATCTTCATCCTTTTTGTGTTCTTGGGCTGTTATAATGTTGTTTAAGGACTGAACACACCTAGTGTGGTATATTCTGTTAAGCTGAGGGACGTTTTATTAAGCAGACTGTAGGTACTTATATACTGATTTCATCTAGCACAGGAATAGCCAACCCAATGACATGTAACAATGAAACTCTGCGCATGGCATTGTTTGAGGAATTTAGGTGCTTTCTATCAGCAAAGTCAGATGATGCTTGACCACTTTCAAAACTGTTTCCCTTGTGAGCAGCGATTGTGGCTAGACTGTTCTTTTTTCAAACGGGAGAGGCGCGAAGCTAGCTATTCACTCGTTTGGTGTGTGCTTAAGTCAGCTATAACATATTTTCATCATTTTTAAACTGATTTCATTAATACTATTGGTTGCTTAAGTTTGAGTTATATTTACAACTTAAAGTATTATTCAACATGTCTAATTAAATAAAATTGCAAGTTAAGTGTATAATAGAGAATTTCAGATTTGGTGGCTTGAGGTGCGCTTAGTAAAGGCTATAAAGATTTATGCATTTTGTGTTCTGTATCAATGGTATTTAGAACATCATTTGTGAAATGGCATTATGGAACAAATCACAAATCTCTTTTTCAAAAAGTGAAACAGAACAAAAGGAATTTCTTGCAAGTCCAATTAAAGAGAGAAATGAACTGTCAACATCTATGAGTGTTGATTGTCATACCAGTGCCTCAAGTTTTTCGGCTGCAAATATCATGGTAAATTGTTTGGGGAGGGAGACTCGTTCAAAGAAGCTGGTTATCATGCGTTCCATCACTTTTTGAAGATTTTGAAAATAAAAATAAAGTAATTCAGCGCATTAAAGATACTTTTTATGTAGAAACGTAATGAGACAAAATCCTAAAACTGGTAAAAAATGTAAAAGAACAGTCAAAAAACAAAATGAGATCAAGTACACTCCCTTTATATCTCTGTGTTTTGATGAAAGTGTGGATGTAATTAAATCTGTTCGTTTAATTATTTTTGCTCGATACTGTGTAGTAAACGACATCAAGAAAGAATTAATTGCGATAATGTATTGTCAACAGCTGCTAAGAGCATAAGTATTTGTATGGCTGTTATAAATTCACTTGCTGAGCAATAAATAGATTTAAGTAAAATTGTTTCATTAATGACTAATGCTGCTCCCAGTATGGTGGGCAAAAACAATGGTTTTACCGGTTTATTTCAAACACACATTGGACATTTAATTCTTGAATTCCACTGCATCATACATTAACAAGCCTCGTGTGCAAAGCAGGGTTTGGCTTCCCTTGCTGATACAGGGTGGGGCAAATAAAAGTGGCTCAAACAACCGAATGACTCTGTTTTTCGAGCCACTTTTATTTGCCCCACCCTATATAATAGCCATAGTCACACAAACAGTGAGCCTCATTTCATCATAGGCTTTAAATAAATGAAAATTTGATTCTTTGTTGGATGAAAATTCGGTGTACAGTTAGCTACAGTAACATACTGTAAAGATTTGTAGATTGCCAGGAAGAAGTCATACTGTTTTATAAAATGATGGGAAAATTGAACAGTATATCCCGAACAGTACTTCCAGAAACCCGGCACATAGATATATAAATCGATTTCCCATCCTGGATCTAGCAGTTTACTGCATCACTTCAAGAGGATGAGTTCGCACTTTTAGGCAAATAATTCACATTTTAGACAATGTTTTTTTGCCCCAACTGCTAGTGACATTAGATGACTCCAGGATCCCGTTACAATTATTTTGGTGCCCGTTACAACTATTATATTACTACATGTGTGGGACAACTGAAATGCCACTTGGAATGTGTTGTATAACAAAAGGAACAAACACTGAACATTTATTGTGTTATGACTCCAAACTTTTTTTATTCCTTCCATATAAATGCTCCCTTTTTGTTTATTTGTTTGCAACACTTTATAAAAAACGGCATTGAGAAACCCTGTATACAAAGTGACAATGAATCTCATGCTAGATTTGTAATGATCTAACTGCTCTGAGGGATGAGAAATGAAATTTGCAAAATGCAAAAATGGGAAAAATTACTAAATCAAGTAACAAGAAATAAATCTATAAGAATATTCGGATTTAAAACTCCAGATGCCTGAAGGAAGTATAAAATAAATAAATCAGAGCAGTTTTGAATTTGAGCATTTTAATAAAAATATGAAAGAGTTATGCAGTTTCCATCTGTCAATAGCAGACTGAGATTTTTCCTGTTGATTTAAATTAAAATCTTTTTCTTCTTGGTTCTATGAGCAGAATAATATGATGCCATTGTTCAACACAATATTTTTACAATCAATCATCTCTTTATTCATTTGCTATTTTAAAATTATTTTATGTAATACTGCTAGTAAGATTTGTATTGTTTTTTTTTTTTTTTTTTTTTTTTTTTTTTTTTTTTTTTTTCTGTACTAATTTTTGGTTTTGTTACATAGTTATTACTAGGACCATAAACATACCATTGAATATCTCTACTTTGATACTGGTATCTTTCAAGATGCTGCAGATTTCAGTTGCCTTGCTTTATCATTATGGTGGAGTTAAGATTCATGAAATTTAAAAAAAGAAAAGATTCTCCCCCTCCTTTTGCTTTTAAGTGCCCTGAAAAGCATATTAAAAAGTATCTAATTTACATGATATGCACCAGGAAGGCATTATCTTACGCAACATAAAGTTTGTTTTTGTGTAAGCCATTATAACTGTATAGAAACATATTCAAAATATTCTGTTATTAACTCAAAAGTATTAAAATGTTTAATCATCGGCAGTTCTAGTATGTAATTGGTGAAAGTTTTGGAAGGCTGTTATTTATTGTTATTCTTTTGCAGTCTGATCCAAGATATGAGGTAACAAATGATACTAAAGCTCAAATTAAGTTCCTAGAAGAATTAGATAAACTGGAGAAAAAACGGCATGATGATCAAGAAAAGGAAATATTACTTAAAGCAGCAAAGGTATGTTACTAAGTTTTCTTCGAGGGAAAAAATTTCACTCTTACATTATTTTTCAAATCATGTATCATAGAAAAAAAAAAAAAAAAATTCTATCTGCTTTTTAAGCTTGCCATCTATTATTATATTGCAAAGTTGTTCAGTGATTTAAACACTTTGAATTTTTTTGGGGTAGGGGGCAGAGGAGAATGGAGCTTATGATTTGATTTTTCAATTATTGTAAATCATCAAATTTATATTTGTTGCATTTTCTTTTCAAAATTTAAAAAATCACTGTGTTATTTAAACTTTTATCTAATTTTAAATATAGTCTATAAGCACTTTGTTTACTGAATTAAATTATCTAGCAGCTTCAAAATGCAGCAATATATATATATATAAATTTGGAAACAAGTGCATGCAGTTTTTATGAATTTATTTTGTGCAAATAAATTAGCCATTGAGATTATATTTACTATTGCCTCCTTTTTATGTAGGAGAAAAATTAAATGTTTAATTTTTTCGATAAATATTCATTTGAAAATTCTTTTATTTTGTGACTTAAAATAAGTCAATTAAAAATAGTTTTATTTGAAAGATATGAAAAATAATTCTATATTAGGCAGTAAAATTGGCCACTAAAAAAGAAGGGGTAAGTGGATAGGAGTTTTAAGTTGGAAACATATTAACTGTATTATTAGTATTTGTAACTGTATTATTAGTAACTGTTTTATTAGTTTTGTTTGTATACTGTAAATTGTATTATTACTAGTTACTTAAGAAAATGTTAATGTATAGTACAACACTCTAAAGTATCTGGCAATCTATAATAATTTTTTGGTGTACTTTTGGAAGATATAATTGAGTGCGCGCACATTAAAAAATGATTGAAATTCGTGGATCCTTTTCTTTCTTTGTTAAACTTTGTAGTTACTGTGAATGAATGCAAATAGGTGCCATTCCGTTTAATGTAATCACATTTATCCATGGCTATTTTGATAACATTAAGCAGTGAGGTCAAATTTCCTTCAAAAGAACAGTGGAATGTAGCTAATTTAATGTAGCTAGAATACTGTAAATACATATTTCACAGTGTTATACAAAAAGTTCATTTATTTTCATTTATAAACTGTTACCAATGCAGTACCCCTAATCTTATTTTGAAGGCATCTCTCATTTCAGACTTTGTAAGACATTCACTGATTTCTTTATAATCATCTTCAAAAAGCTTTATCACATGACGTGCTTAGATTTGTTTCAGAAAGTATCTGGGAGATAGTCTTTACTCATCAGCATTGCAACTTGAATTTTTTCTTCGATATCCACTTGTTACATTTTCTCACCCTTTTTGTTATTTTAAGAGGTTGTTTTTTCTTCTTCAACTTCCATTATTTCATTGTTTGTTAAAAAGGTACTTTATTTAAGACAATTCTTTATTGAATTTTCTGAGACATGGTTCCAAGACAAGATGAAGAAGGTTGGTTTTCCTTGCTAATTCATTCTTACTTATACATATTATAAATTACTCCAGTATTCATCTGATGGTAATATCATTCTTTGATTGCTCTAATCAAGCATTAAACATGTGGTAGAATTAGGGGTGTCTTATTTGCATACGATTTCACTATGTTTAAGATAAACATTTCTGCATGGCCTTGTGCTATGCTTTTTGCTGCCCAATCCAAACTTTAAAATTCTGCCACCCAGCTCCTTCCTAAATTCTACGAGTTTTGATGCCTGTAAATTCTGCTGCTCTGTGCCACTGCACCAGACAGCAGTGGCCATGTGTTTACAGTATACGTTGTGCACCTGTCATTAAAAAAAAAAAAAAAAAAACTTTCATTCTTCGGTTTGTTATCCCGTTTCAAAAGCCATTTTTTCAAACTTGCTGACACCGTGCATGCCTCAAATTATATCTATAGTCCTCCTTTAAAGCAGAGTTTTTTTGGCTTGTAAACAGGTTTCTCATATTTTTCTTATTTTCTGTCTCTCTTCTCCCCCCCCCCTTTTTTTTTTTTTTTTTTTGTTTAAACCCACATGTGAAATGATCACATGATATTTTGATCTTTCAATTTTAAATAAATGTGTATTTGGGGGGCAATGGGAATTCTTTTAATGTGTACATAAACAATGTTTTTGTCCTTGGGCAATAGCAGACATAAATTGCTACAAAATCTTCTTTCCCCATTTTTACAGTCTACTCCAGCTTTCTGCTGCTTTAGTGAACCACTGCCTGTTAAATCATTTGAACAAACTTTTGTAAATCTTCAGTGCATTCTTAACATTGTGATATTTCTTGTAGCACATCTGTTCCATGCTTTCATTTTGATTTGTAAACAATATACAGTCAAAGTCGTTAATCTGCGTCGGACGTTCGGCGATTCCGGATTATCGATTTTTCCTGATTATACATCATCAGTTTAAATCTGGTAAGAGGCATGCAAAATTACAAAATAAAAATATGAAACCATAATTTATGAATAAACAATTATGATCTAAAGGGTATCAAATTTAACAAAAGAAAAAGCTTAATATTTTTTTGTTTACTTTATTAAACATTTCTTCAATGCAAGGCTCGTTTCATTTGAAATACTTTCTCTTTCTATAAACGCTAATTCTTGTTTAGTTACAAGTTCCGTGTTCAAGTCCTATAAATGCTGTGTTGGAATACCCTAATTTGTCAATCGCAATGTTTTCGTTTCAAACCTGGTCCTTTCTTCACTCGGAACGAATTATAATGACGAGGAACTTAATTAATCATGTCAAAGATGGAGTATCGAGATGAAAACTACACTTAGTAGAAATATAGCCAAAAAAAAAAAACATCTTGCCCTGAAGATAAGGATAGTGCGACAGATCAACTTCCAATCCGCGTTGAAATTGATAAACAGATTGGCAGATTTTGAAATATACTTTCGCTTTGTAGACAATTACATATTGGTAATATATAATCGGAAATTCTATTTGACATATCGAAATTCAAGCTTACTTTTTATGAAATTCTCTAACAGTCTGGAATAATAATAAGCCGATCCATTAGAAGGTTTAAGGAACAACGCAATCTGCAACAGTACCTGAATTAGATAATTTTGCTTAGCTTTACCGTCCGTTACACATTAACGTTGCGCACAAACTATTCGCACCGTAAAACGTGCACTCGTAAAAGCGTGTGCGCATGCTTGAACGCGACGCATGCGCAGAAAGTTTGGAGCTTTGAGGTCCGGATTATGGGTGTCCGAATTAACGACTTTTCACTGTATTCACGATTCTTTAAAATTTTGCATAACAGGAATTCATAAACGATTAATTTAAAACATTCCATTTACTGATTTTGGTAGCAGGTTATAGCAGTCTAATAAATTAACTTGATCCTTTAAATCATCCTGCCTTTTACTGGAATGTGTGATTTTAAAATGATTAAAAGTGACTACAAATAACCAAAATGGCATAGCTAAATGGAATAAAAATGAGTCCTTTCTAGAAAAAAATATTCTTCAAAATGTGAAGACCACGACACAGCAAAGAAATTTTTTGGCGCATAAAAACAAGACTGTCTGCAAAATTTCAGCTTTGTGATTTAATGAAATTGGAAAAGAACATGCCAATGTAAAATTTAGAATAGGGGGGGAAGCAACTTTAGTTTGGCTTAGATTTTAGAAGAGAGATTCCTTCCCCCCCCCCATAATTTTAAGTTGACTAAAATTAAAAGCAAACTGTGTAGAGATTTAAATTTTTGTTTGGTGACATTTCTGAGTCATTTGGTTAAACTTAATTTATTTTTACCTTATATTTTACCTATTAAGCATTGTTGATCACATTAAGCAATGTATTTTCTGTGTTTTTGTATACAAATGGGCAGAACTTCGGCAATTCAATAACATTAATATTAATTCAGAAGTCAAACAACAAAAATCAGCGTTATATTTACAAAATTTTCACAGGACTAGTTTCGATGGTTTTACCGAACCAAAATCTTCAGCGCAAAAAAACGCAAAGAAAACACAGAAGTCTTCTTTCTCACATTGTTGGTCCGAAACCACACTTTCAGTTTTTCTGCTGCCAAATTAGTCAAAAAACACTTCCGTGGAGAACTGGATTTTCTAGAAGCATTTCCCTCAAAAATCTTTCTTTCTAGTTAACGATCCTAATTCCAATCCAAATTTTGCCTTTGGCCTTTAGAATGATGTTTTAGTTCTGGTTTCACCAACAGATGGCGCCAATTGCTTATTCTTGGCCAGGTTTCTTATCTAACATTATTTCCTATCTTGTTCATTTCGGTTTTGCAGCTGAAGATGGGGTTCGGTAAAACCATCGAAACTAGTCCTGTGAAAATTTTGTAAATATAATGCTGATTTTTGTTGTTTGACTTCTGAATTAGTATTTATTCGGCGTGTTATTGTGTCTTAACATTAATATTGATCACATCGATCGGCATCTCCTGTCATAAAGGTACATTCATGTGGCATCGGAGGTCACGTGATGTAAGGAATACTAATGTAAACAAACAAGCTTGTGCTGTGGTAGATGTGTTGAAAATTCAAAAAGTTTGTTTATTTTTGATTAATTATGAAATTTGCATTTCGTCTTTAATTATTATTTCATTCATTTGGTTAGTATAATTTTGGTAACTCTCATATGTTACTGTTATCTTCATGATACTCTTTTGTTTGCTGCTTTACCATGTTTTGTTTATTAATATTTATTTATGAATTCTTTCCTTGATATGATAATTAATTCATTTATTTAAAAAAGTGTAAAAATGAATACAGAAAATCATGTTTACATAGATTGCTTTTCTACACTGAAAAGAAAGTTACTATAAATATTTTTAAGTCATAATTTTATCAGCTTAACAAGCAGAACAGTAAATATAAATAGTTGGTTTCTGAAAATCATAATAGTCAAATTTCCGGAGCACTGTAAATGCAGTTGTCCCTTAAATCATGTAAGGATAACGATGTCAATGCCTGCGTAGTTCAAAATTAATATATAATTTTATACAACTTAAAATTTTATTTTTTGCAACTGACTATTATCCTATTGATAGTATAAACTGTAAATTAACGCATTTTGTATTCTATAATATAAGTGCCAAAAAGAAAAATATAGAGATTTGTGCAGAGTTCACTGCAGTACTAGCTGTGAAACTAACAATTTTTCATAATACATTTTTCTTCATTTTATAATAGTAAATAATAAAAATAGTATCTGTATAGATTTTAAATATTCAAAAAATTAATTTGAAGTTATTTTTAATCTTGTAAGTTACATAATTTATGTGCAGGATTTTTTATTTTGAAATCATGTAGCTCAAAAAGATTTTCAGGTGTATTTATTGAAAAGAGCTACCATAGGAAATAGACTAGTGTAAGTCTAATGCATATATGTAAGGCATATATAATCTCAAAATATGAACTGACACAACCACTGATTTTCAAGGACTAAATATACATGCTAACTTAACATTTAAACTAAAAAACTCAGCAATTTCCCATGAAAATTGAGAATTAAGTATAAAATCTTATAAAAGCATCCTTTTATGTTAAAATGTTTCAGTATTACTAATGCTTCTAATATTACAGCTGTTGGTATCCTTAATATCTACAATGGAAGGTATTAAAAAAATAACATCCCGATATTTATGTGTATACATTAAAAATCGATTACAACAGCTAAAACATTAAAACATATCCTGATGAAATTAATAAAATTTTAGCGGCATAAAATATTCTATGACTTTAATTAATATTAACAAGAGAAAATTGGCTTTGTATTTATGTTCTTGCAGATAAACAGATCTTCCATGAATTCGGCTATTTCAGTAATTTAGAACAACTGTTCATGAACTGTGAATATACTATTATTACACTTACATTTAAAAGTTTGGAAAATGTTATTCAAGGTCTCAAGAATAGTTTTCGTTTAACTGATATACACTTAATATTTTTATTGAAAACATTATTAATACTGGTAAGCATCATGCATAAGAAACATTTATAAATCTTACCTCATTTTCTGCAAAAATTTGTGCAGATTAATTCATAATAAATTGATTTCTTCATTTCGGTCTTAACACAGTTTGTTATAAGTACCATGCTATCCGACATTACGTCACATTTTTTCCTTGAATAACAAAAGACCTTCTTGTTGATATTAAGGAAAGAGAAATAATTTCCAAGCATATTTTTTAATTTCTCGCAATAGGCATAAATTTCTAAATTCAAAAAATCAATTAATTTCAGCAGAAGTTATAACTCCATTGTAAACATAGCACATGTGGATGTTGTTGTTCTTAAACTACGTGACCACATTTTTGCTCTTCTTCTGTTGCGAAATGTATCTCATTAACATTCCATTTTTAATATATTTTCATTCTGTTAAGTATAATTCGTTTGTCAAGGTGGAATTTTGTTAATGTGTTTCATATTCAATAAGTGTATTAGTTCTGTTCTCATTTTTATTAAAATAGAGACTAATAGTGTATTTTATTTTTGCAACCATTTTTTTCTACAAAATAAAACTCATATATGTGAAAAGTGTATAATATTAGAAAAGTAATTTATGGCAATGCTATAATTCTTAAATTTCTAATTATTGCAATTCATTTGTGTGTATGTTATATAAACTTCAATACATGTACTAAATGTTGTGAAATTTGTATAGAGTCGGTCTAAGCTGGAGGATCCAGAACTTTTAAAACTGAAGCAGAAAGCTAAAGAGGTAATTAAATTTCTATAAAGTAATTCACATGCACACATATATGTACACAAAAATGAATAAAAATACCTAATCTAGTTGTGTGTTGAAGGCAGCAGCATGTGGCATAATAATGCATGGTAAATTAAAATAAATTGAAAATACATTTAAAATCCATCCCATATTGACTTTGGCACAAACTATATGAAAAAAATATTACAGATTAACCATATGTAAAACATACACATATTACCAGAAGCCACTGGTAATCTGTGTGATAGACACAGAGAATGCCAAAATCAAAAAAGAAAAAGAAGAAAAATTTTTATCTTTCAATTACATTGTTGATGCAAAGGAAGAAATAAATATATCAGCCTATTTCTGAACTAACAAAAATACATTTAAAGTTTAATATTTAAAATAATCTGAGAAATCAAAATCTGTGTTTTCATCAATCGAACCTTTACATCGAACCATAGTAAAAAGTGCAAAAAATTACAAAATTATTGCATAAATATCATAAACTTAAAAATTGCTTTTTTTTTTAAATTTATTTTGTGCATACCAAGTTCAAAAATTTAACCATATAAGTGCAAGCAATTCAGCACATGAAGAAATAATAACATGAAAATTTTAAAAAGTAAGGCAGAGTACAAAAAATTTCTTTGCAAAATTATAGCATCAAAATATAAACAAGCAAAAAAAAAAGCTTAAAAATATAATAAAGATTATTTTGTAATTATCCAGACTAAGTCTAAAAAACAAAACATGTAAACAGAAAAAAGTAATAACATGAAAATTTGATTAAAAAATTATGGGGAAAAGATTAGTTCAAAATTTTGTTACATTACAGCAACAAAATTTTGAAAAGAAAAGAAATATTAATTTGATGTGCCCTGTACATATATTAAGGTAGGTCAAAAAGTAAAGTAATGAGATCTGTTACTTCTGATTTGACAATTTTTATGCATTGTGATATGTTAAGATAAATGCAGGAGCAATAAAACTAAAAGAAAATTTACCACATTTAGTTTACTGTGTTGCACATCGTGAAGGCTTGAGTATTTGCAATGCTTCAAAAGAAGTTAAAACTGAGAGATATTGAAACTGTGATGAAAACAATATACACTGTATTTTCTAGATCTGCAAGAAAAGATAAATTTCAAGATATTGCTACTGCTTTAGAAAATGAAGCTATTACTTTTATTACTTTTAAACCATTAAATGTAGTTAGGTGGTTATCTAGACATTTTGCACTGAAAGCAGCATTAATTGAATGTTTTAAAGAAAATAAAGCAAGCATTTCAAAATATTGTATACAGAAATTGAAAAATCCTGAATTTCATATAAATTTAATATTATGAATGATGCTTCTGAAGAATTTGCAGCGTTGTGTAAAATATTTCAGCAGCACGATCACTTTCAGCATCAGTGACCACTTGATGCATTTCACTTTGTTCGTGGTAAACTAAATAAACTTAAAGCACACTATACTAAGTACAGCAGTATTACTTGGAATAATACAGTGAAAATTCTTCTCTGTAAAGCCAAGGGAAAGAAATTAGCCTGATTCTATGCTAAGTTTTATAAATTTGCTTTGCTCTCATTTAGAAGAAAGATTTCTTGAAAATAAAGTACATGAATGGACTGTGTTTGCTTTGACAGTATCAAGTGCATGTGATTTCAATTATGGCACATAACTAGTAACTAGCATAAAATACAGTAACATATTAACAGATAAAACAGTTATACTATAATAATATGACGACTTTTAAATTTGCCATTTGTGAAAACATTTAAGTGTAAATTGATAGCAAAGTTTTCAGATAAAGTAAGTAGTGTGTTCATTACACAATAAATTATTTTTGAAACTTTCAAAATTAATGGATATTTGAACAGAGCATTCTTGGCATCTAGTGTTGACTGTTAATGAGATTCCAGTTCAATAATTTAATAAGAAAATAAACAAAGAAAATTATTTAGATATGTTAAAGCAAGTAAAATATTGTTTAAATGGTGAAAACACAAAAATTTTGATCACCTGTGTGCTAAAGGTTTAAATTTTAAAGATAGGAGACAAAAGATTGCTTGCATAAATGTAGTTACTCTTTTGGGGGGGGAAGAAATAAATCTGAGCATTACTATCAAAGTTAAGCTACATTTTGGAAAATATTTTGTTATGCTTCCATGTGTATTAAAATATTAATTTTTATAATTAATATTCTTTATATATATGTGTTTTTGAAAATAAGGAAAATTATTAAAATTTAAATATAAAAGTAAGAGTAAAAAATAAAGCCACATATACATAAGCAATTCTTGCAGTAAAAATGTTACGCATTAGTAGTCATAAGTTAGAGGAACACTGACCACAACATTTGAACGTTGCCAGTGCGTGGCAGAGATGTCATATAAATACAGCAAAATATCAGTTGTAATATGGCTGCACTAACCATATTAACTTCAACATGGTCAAATGTTGAAGTATCTCTGTCTAAAAAAAACGTCACCGATAGAATTTATCAGCTTGTTGAACTATATGTTGTTAATGTCTGTTCTTTGTTGTTAATGCACATGCCTTTTGATGTGCTAAATTCAATAAAGACAGGGCAGATATGCAAGATGAATAACAGTGCATTCGAGCACTTCCTCTGTATTGAAGCTCTGATTCAGAATGATCATTGTATTCAACTTTGCAGTAATGCTAAGGTATACAGCATCTTAGTGGGCAACCTGCACAGTGTTGTACACGAGCAAATGGGCTACCAGAAGATGTGTTCATGCTGGTGTGTAAGCAACTCACAAAGAATTATGAAACCTGTAAATAATGGGATTGTCTCTCATGCACTTGATGTGGTTTAGTGATGAAGATATTCATTCTATTCTTTTACTGTATTTCAGTTGTTTTGGTGCTCTGTAAGCTGCAAAAGTGTTTTTAGCAAAAATTGTCTTAACTTGTCTGTTTAAAGGTATCTTGTTGCTGCACAACACCGGACAATCACATGCAACTATCATTACTCATGATTTGTCATGGCACTTCTTTTGGGAGTAGCTGGATCATTCTTTCTACAGTCTGAACCTGCTGTTCAGTGATTTTCATCTGTTCAGACAGCTAATGAAGCACATAAGTGATTCACAAGCAGTGAGGATTGTCATTGTCTGGCATCCAGGGATTTGACAGTAATTTCTTTTGTACAAACATTGATGCTTTATTGTACCATTGGAACAAATGTTTGGACAAGCATAAGCATGGTGACTGTATTGAAAAGTTACATTACCAAGTATCCATATATCTGCCTAGAATGGAGTTTGTCCTGAGAGGACCTGTTATTTTGCATTTTGAGTTGCCTTCTTTGTGTTTATTACCAGATTTTTCATGAAATACTCTTCTGCTATCCTGATTTCTTGAAATGCTGCTCCTTGAATCAAAGTATCCATTGGGCAGATTATGTTTATGTGCATAATGAAGTTTATATTTATATAAACCTTGAAGCAAAAGTTATAAACAACCCTAGTGTTATGTAATATAGCCCATACATATTTGAAACTTTTTCATAGAAATGTTTTTACATATTAAGTTGAATTCTTGCTATGACAAGCATTAAACAGATGTATGTGATATTTTCCTCCTTCTTAAAATGATGATGCTGCTGCTCAAATTCTTTAATTTCTAAAAACATGAAAATAATAATATAATAGCTTTTAGCAGCTGCTTAGCAAAATACATAAATATTGTGTTAGCAGCAAAAATAGAAGTTTTGTATTTCGTATGAATTTTCAGATAATTCAAAACAATTTCATTCATAGAGTATAATTTTAAATATGTAATCAGTTGTAAACAACACTTAAAATTTACCAATAAGATTTATTTTATGCATAAAAAATTATATCTGGAATCTAAAAATTATATTTTCTATTAGAAAACATTTCTTGTAACTGTA